AACACGTCTAATGTCATATGAATTAAAAATATGTATATGATTAATAAATAATAAAAAACTTATACTTGTTTTTAAAGTTTTTAACAAAGTAATAATCGTTGATAATGCATTGTTCCATTCATTTATTAATAATATAATATACTACTGTTATGAAAGTATTTACTAAGACAGTGGACAAAGAGGCGCGAGGATCGCTCTCGAGGGAAAACAGGGAGACGATTGAATGTGAAAATTTAATTCTCATTTTCTATCGTGGGAGCAAAAGTATCTGTTATTATTTTTCCTCGACAGTTTTAAACACATATTTTAGAGTTAACAATCGTAAAACTTTATATGCAAGCGTGTCCTTGTCTGTTTATTTTATTCACAATATGAGTTATAGTATGAAATTTTATTATTTTTATAAAATACATTTACAACTGTGTTTAATTTTGGCTGTTATAAGAACTTACGACTTCATAAGCTAAATTTTACTTCTGGTTCTCTTTTTTGTAAAGTAACTATGAAGTTGTGTATATTTTTGATTAGTCCATGGGTAGCTAGTGGTACACCGCTTAACGGGTCCACCCAGCCAAGTGGCGTACTACGTCGAACGTATACAGACTGATACAGGACAGAAAACCAAAAAGATGTGTATTTGGGAGTAATAATGAATAGTAGAAAGGGCAAACATTACTGTTACGTACCATCTAGACGGCAAAGCTTAAACGCAGATATAAAAATACCTTGAGTCCGTTTTACGAGTATGGGAAGGATTATTTCATATACATATGTCATGTGTCAAATATTTCCAAATTCTTTGATATTAAAGGCAAGTTTAAACTTACGATAACTACTATATTTTATTATAATATGCATAGCATAAGGAGCGTAGACTTCAGTAAATATAATACATAATTAAATCGATGGCCATATCTGAGCATCGGAGCCTGCCCATTACTCATATTAAATGTTCGAAGGCAGCTAGCGGTCTGTATTAAAACCGCAGAATCCAACGAAACACAATAGTTGTCCTTCATTTACTTATATTTATTATCTCCGTCCCTGGATACCACCTGGGTGATAAAGTTCGCTCATTTGTATAAGCTCCCTTTATTCTTACTCAATTACTTACCCCGTTTGCTTTTGTTTTTATAATAAAGACATACTTTGTACGTTTGAAGATTTAAATTTTTTAAGTAATTCATTTTATACATTTAAGATAATTTGCACAATGTTTTATGGAGGAGTTGAAGATATAACTTATTTTATTAAATGGAAATTAAAACTGTAATCTTACTTATTGTAGGCTATATAAGTACATAAATGAGTGATACCCAGTGCGAAGTCTTGTAAAAATAAATCTTTATAACTACTTACATAAAAAATGTGTAAATATATTTAAAACTTATATTAGACTATATTAGATTTTAATAGACTTTCGGGCTTCTTAATATCTTAGATCAGAGTTCAAGTTATTTGTTTAATAAAATAGAATTATTTTATTACATTTTATTTAACAAAACGTATTCATACTTAGGACTTATATTTTCTGAAATAGCTTTTAGATAAACGGAATAATCTTGAAAGTTATGAGGGTTTAACACAGTTAAGTGTGCTTTTAGAATCAAATAGTACAAAAGTAATAAAATTACCGCGCAGTTACCGAAGCTTAACCCTCGCGGAATCTACTATAATATACGGTTGAGTGTAGTGCGTTTTTGAGGTTACTCTAGTTGCTAATTGAGTTTGCAGATTCGTTGAGCAAGGTGCTTACTTTCATATTACGCCGCTGGCAACATACCAGCTGTAACTTTCATTAATGTAATATTCAAAACCTATAATAATACTCAAAGTAATTATGTTCTGAGTAAAGTTTCTAAATTGCTTGCATAATATTTTCGGAATATACATTTAAGCGTGAAACGGTTGGACTAGCGTTTGTTTAGCGTATTATATGGGAACGTTGTCTGGAATGTTGGAATATATTGAATTAGAAGTAAAATTATTCACTGCGAGAAGTCTCTGACTAAGATAATATAAATTATGTCTTTTGGAAGTATTAAGTTTTGATTTTTCTACTCTCGATATTTAAAATTTAGATGTAAAGAAAAGTTTCTATTGCTTGTATGAATAAAAAGTATGGACGAAATATAAGTTTGTCCCAAAAAAATGTTTCTTATTTTACAACCAAAATTATACAGAAGGAGCCAAAAGAATATGTTTATAGCCAGATTTTTTCTTAGGCTTTCGGATAGACGGTTTGTTCTCTGAATTCCGAATAGACTTTGTTTCGAATCTAAGTTATAAAGAATACAACGATAAACATAATATTATTCTTTTGATTTCTTTTTCTTAGCGGTCTTAATATTTACTTTTTTTATGTTTGTGCTATTTAAATTCGTGTCAGAATTTTCATGTTTCCTTAATATTGAAATCAGTAAATTATATTTAAAATGATCCATGCTAGTGGATAATAATTATAATTGATAGTCGTATAAATTATATATTGGTATTTTGGTATTTCAATGACGCAAATATTTTTTGATTGGATGCTTAAAATGAAAATATGAGCGACTCTTTTTTCACAGCGTGTTAAATGTGAAATATTAATCTGAAACATTACTATGAAATTGAAAACCTTAACGTTTATTATAAAATAAATATTGTTACTAAAACTTTAATAAGTTGGATTTGCTGTAAATAAGTATTTAAAGGTGACGTCATGAATTACAGTTCGAAAACATATACATGGGTACACATAAGTATATATATTTTATTTTATTTATAATGTTAAAAAAGGTATATAGATATATACATTTATTATCCGTTCATAGCAACGATTTCTTCATTGGTAACATAAATTGTATAAAAAACAATAGTTTACTTGTCCTTTGTAAATTCTCAATTCTTCAGGTAACCAAACAACTGCCGCTATAATTAAAGTTAAGTTTATAGCATATTAAATACATACAATCTGACGAAATCAGTAAAAAGGCAATCTTTTAACATATACTTATTAATGAAATATACACATCCATACATATTTGAATTATAATATACATACGTATTATATAATAATAATGTATAAATATAAAATTATATTTTTAACCTTAAAGTTTCTTTCAAGTAATTCTATTTACCTTTAGCCTGTATTCAAGAAGTTATAATCTCCAATTTTAAATCGTTGACATTTCCGAATAACTCGCTGTAACTTTTGCTGCAGTTCCTCGTGCGTCGGTTGTCCCTTAAACTATAAATTTATTCAGGTTCCGTTTCCCAACTGTAACATTTTGAAAGTACATTTTTATGTCACAGAACTCGCTCATCAGATGTAAGAATTTGTTAATTCAAATTTACGCTCGTAAACTTTCGAACTTAGCTTTATTTTTGCACTTTTTATTGAGTTTTATGAAAATATTTTAATACATATAATGAAAAATAAGAGTAAAAATTGTATATCATCATAACATTTTTAGCAAAACAATTTTTGCATCATGATTTTTAGTGCAAAAAAATGAATTGTTACTTACCTTAAATTATTTCAAATTATGGACAATATGAGAATTTTTTAATTAAGTATCAACACTTTTTTTAGCTGGAAATGTTCAAGTACAGTTATCAAGCAAGAAGTGGCATTTTAAATTAACATTAACTTAAGTTGAAATGAAGTTTAATAATTAAACACATTGCCCTGGTAACTTAGTTCTTTAGACGGCACTAGTAGGACAATCATATTCCTATTACAGATGCTTGTTTACGAAAAGGTATTTATTTAACAAACGTCAACAATGTTTCTCATGTTTCATTTGAACAGTCCCTTTTGGAACTGGGGTTCAAACTGGTAAATTCTATTGTTTACGTACTCATTTCTCAAATAAGATTAAATAAACGTCTTTATAAATTTATAACATTTCTCATTGTTTAAGTTTCAAATGGGATTTGCTTATAATTATGAAATATGTTAATTATGTCGGATCTTTTAGTATATTTCCTTCGTAAAAACATTATTTTTTTATGAAGAATTAGGTGATACCTATAGCACCATAACTGCATAAATGTATGTGTAAAAAAAAAATTCGGGACAGAAATGGATTTTAGTCTTGAATAGAACGTACGATTCCTATGGGATACATTTGTTCCTGGAAAGCATACGTGGTACACGTATAGAATGAGAGTTGCCAGTTAGTTTATAAATATTAGAACAGTATAGTTATTAAATAATATAAAAAACTGAAAAAGATTTTGTGTCTTGGGCTAATAATATTGTATTACAAGCTTATGATAAAAAATGTACATATATATCTATTCATAAAATTTTATGATTTAACATAATATTATTAAAGTTTTTTGGAGCTATGCATTTTGTAAGCAATGAAAATTATGTGTATAATGTGATATCCAGTGGCGGCTGGTGGGTAAGAGAACTGGTGGTGCACTTTACTAAAATCCAACAAAACATAACGAAATGTCAAAAACGGCTCAATTCGTCATACATCGGGTGCTCTCGGTAATCTTCGGCCGCTCGTGCGGCGCTCGAGAACCGACTCATTACTCGGTACATTTCTATGAACTATCTTTTGTTTCTCGTATTAATTCGTATCTCATACAAGATGTATTGGCAGTCCTCGTGCACTCGCCGAAGCGCACGATATGAGTTTAGTAAAGCGCTCAAACTTTTTGACCATAATAAGGAAATTTAATTGTTTATACGTTTTTGTATGTTTAAAAAATAAATATTAAAATGTTAATTTAAAAATAAAGATGAAGTAATATTTTGTAATTTTTTAATCTTTTGAATTGGTGGTTCAGCGCACGAGTGCACTTAAGGTACAGTCGCCACTGGTGATATCGTATAGTATACGAGACTTCAAAATTAAAAAAAAACTCCTTTTACAAAAAGTGTTCTTATTATTAAGTAACATTGTTCTTATTTAAACAGGATAATTAGAAGAGATTTTAATTAAATAATTAATTAATTTCACCTCTGCGTTAATAATATTTTTATCATAATATTATAGATGAACAGCGTCGGATGTATGGTTCGGAGGATGGCGAAAACCCTCCGCGATACATTAGTAGCCCTCAACGCCAGGCCTCACCGTTTCCCCTCGAAAGCACCAACAGACGCTTCTATAGACGAATCAGAAATTCTAAAGGTATTTATGGTACTCTTACAATGCAATCGCAATGCTTTTATGATCTTTGCTAAATGGGGTCCCTTTTTTAATGACCCTTTTAATGTAGTTCCTATATGTCAAAGTACCAATGCTAGCTTTAATAAATATGTTATAAAAACTTATATGAATTCCTTTAAAATAATTTTTAGAATATTCGCAAGCTCATATTCCTGTTTGAAGTATCATATCACGATCATAATATTTCCAGCCCTCGACATTTCATTATGGTTGCATCTTAAGTGATCATAAGATGGGTTCATACATTTTATTACATATATCCAAGACATACTATTTAATATGTTCGTGTTTGACGTCGTTTTGATATAAAATTAAGCGATAAATATTTTTTCTTAGGTGAAGAAATTTTTAACAACGAAGCTAGTGGTGGTACACTCTCTCGAAGAAGCCGCAGAGGTGATGAATTTCATGAGACCAATGGACGGTCAAACAGAATCAATCATCTAAATGGTAACTAAACTTGTATTATAAAAGTAAAAATAATAAATATTATAACATCATACATCCTACATAATAAAGCTACTAAATTCAAGAAAATTGTTTTGAATTCCAAGCCAGTCTGAAATGTAAGGAATGAATGAGGAATTACACGTGTATTCAGTATAAGACTCCTGTATAGTTATTGTAGTTAGGCATTCTGAATGTCTATTATAAGCGTGGTATAGAGGTGGGTGCATGCCTTTGATAAGGATGCTCCGAATAGTTTCCCCACTATACGTGACTTGTACTTAAGGTAGCGTCAATTGTGCGTTTATGTTATTTTCATTGGCTTTTAATATATTAATTTTATCATTTTTATTTATTTTTACTGTATATTTTATAATGTTATTTATATCATATTTAAAACTTCAAGCAGTGAACAAATGAATATATTTATTTTTATACATAGTATGTATTTGTTTGCGTTATACAACTTTCTAAAGTTATTAGAGTTTTAAATTATTTAAATTTTTTACTGCTATATAAATGATAAAATTACTAGCAAGCCAGTAGATTTAAAAAACTATATGGTTTTGAAAGACACAAAAACGTGAAGTGCTCTTTATTGCTCAGTTGGAGTTTTTCCAAGCCATTTCGATTTTTTTAATGTAACTTACATAGTGCAGGTTGGAACTGCACTAATATAATTTTTCCAAACTATGTAGTTAAGTTTTTGGTATTTAATAGATAAAACTATTGAAACATTTTTCACTCAAATTTTTTTATAAATATAAAGAAATAAAAAAATTACCCTCCTTGGGACTCAAAATTAAATAATTACAAAACACAAAAGCAGACCCTAGCTAAAGCTGGGAAATTGCCAGGTAGAAGAAGAAGATGAAAATCCCTAACTCCTGTTGCTAGATGTATCAAAATATGTATTACTAGTTGCGCCATTTCTGTTAGTAATTGGTAACAATTTTTATTAATTTACCTCCACCTAAAATAATAAATCCGTCTGTTCGCAATATTCACTTGTTTCATTAGAACTATTTCACTTGTTTCATTAGAACCGATATTATATACGACTAGATATTAACTTACATTTAGATCATTGTAACGATGTTTTATGAAGGTCCATCCAGCGGTGGTCAGAGCGAGCGTGAGTGTGACAGTCCTCCTGAGCCTGCGCCCCCAGAGGTACCTCCACGAGGCCCCTCCTTACACGTCACCTTACGTCATCGCCCTGCACCCGAACAAACAGCTGATTCCGAACGACTTTTTCTATCTGAAGGTAATCTAGATAATAATAGACTACATAAGAAAAAAGCTAAGAGAACGTGGGTCTAAATATTCGGTTCTTTTTATGAAAATGACAATTCTTTTCTTATAGGAATTTATCAAATTTGATTATCTGGAATCGTATTATAGGTAACCACGGATAAAGGATGAGTTAGAATAATTTACATATATTACTTGGACATAGTTGGGGAAATTAATTACTTCCTGTTTCGTTCCGACGATACGATAAACAATTCATGGTAAACCATTTTGTAATCAATACCAATAGTTTAATAATAATAGTAGAAAATACTAATAATTTGTTTCGCATAGTTTGTACTTAATTTATAGCGTATTGTAACGGCAAATATTTCTACGATGAAAGTTATGACGATAGTTTTCTTTCATTCATTATTCTGGAGAGAACAGAAATAGTAAATAACTATCATTCCTTTCTTTCACCTGCAGGAATTCCAACCACATACCAATATTTCGTTGCTCGGTTTATTAAATTAACGCATTATTTGCTTCATTTGTAATATGAACTGTACCAAATGACAATCGAGCTGAATTGAGATATTAATGACAAAATGTATTACCGAATAAAGAGTATTTTATATTGATCAATCTCGTGTTATGCTTATTCGTTTACGCTGAAAATGAACACGTAAGAACTTCGTTTAGTAATTCTACTTTAACACATTTTCATATCCATTTTGATGAGCTATAAAAAATAAGGATGTAATAAGAATGTGCCTGCGGCGTTGGATTTTGCCGCATATGCTTACTGAGCGAGGTACGCGAGAAAACTTCCATTCAATCTAAGTTAGAAGATAAGCAGCCGACCTACTAGCTTTGTTAAGTATATTTTATCTTGTGGTAACTAGCTTTGGTTTTAAATAGAATTTGTTACGGAGTGCTCAAGGGCAAGCGATATAAAAGTACAGCGTTCCCTGATGAGAAAGCTAATTAAATTCCACCGTAAATGTACGGAAAACTTTCTTTAAGTAGGCCCTTCTCTTGTTGGTACTTCGACAGAAGTTTAATCGAATTGCACCGTTCGAACAAGTTCGCGGGTGCAACTTTAGGTTCGCTGACAAATTAGCCACTTCATTACGGTAACCTTTATCCACGAAATTTGTATACAGATTGTTAAATTTCTGAATAATCTACAAATATGCTTGCACAGACAATAGATAATAACTTTTCAATTGCTAGTTAAAAGTTATAATATTGAAAGTTCAGAGCAATCAAACCGTTGAAAATAAATATGAAAAACTATAAATAATGCAACATTTTATTTGTGGGTAAATGTGAAGGCTAGCAGTTGCTTTTCACATCCGTAACGAAAGAAGAGAGCTGCTAAATTTGATTTGTACGAGAGCCCGACACAGACAAGGCGCTTTGATGTGGCATATCCCTTTGCACCCCGCGGCCTGGCGGCCTGCTGAAATGGCGAGCACTTACAGAGAAACTCTTACCGTAATTTAATTTTTATGATAGCGCATTGTAAGTATCCCTAGGAGATTTTTATTTGAAGCACTTAGTATAAGTTGTAAGGTATCACACTAATTTATTACGTCTTCCATATATTAATCCACGTTAATTTCGGAAATTCAAAAGCAAATATAATATTTATTTTGAAAATGTCTATTATTGATAATTTTAGGGTATGGTTGGTTTTGAAGAGGGAAGGAATTAGGCAAATCTTGATTCAAACAAGAAAATAGCTTCAAAAGGTCTTGAAAGTTTAATGGAATCGAACAGGGACCGGCCGAAGTAGTCGGAAGTTTGCACGGGTGACAAATTGGGCACTTGACCCGCGTGCCGAGCGAGCCTCCGAGTGCTTGTTTCTCGAGGACCGTAATAAGTTTAACTTTAAGTAAACTATATTCCATTCCCTCTAATTTGTCCTCTGACTACATCGTCGCGACACTTTTTACAGTTTCAAATTAACAGTTTCTATTTACGGTGCTCCGTGTCTGTAGGCGTTTTTGTTGAATCTTAAAATTTTCAATATCAGACTGTCTAGCTAAAAGAGGAACTTTTTATACGATTTTAAGTTTGGTTGAAAATGTTTGTTTACCTATAAATTTTATTGGTATAGGATTCGAGATAACAAATGCAATAATATTCCATAAAAAGCAATAAGATTTGCCGTCTCAAGTTTGCCGGGCTTTTTGAAAATTGAAACCTGCTGAGATTCGCCGTAATTTAATTTTTGCGATGCTGTATTGTTAGAGCTTTCAGAAGGGCTCTTTGCAGTTGAAACTCAGAATATTGTCGCCTTTGCATACGAAAATAAATTTCTCTTCCGTTTCCTTTTAAAAATGTTTCATAAGATTTAGACTTTCCATTGCAATAATTTTCTTGAAGTTCATATTATTGGTATGAAGTATTTTTTGCCCATTAAATGGAAACAATACTTCCTTTTATTAATAAATACTTTTATGTCATTATTAATTTTATTTCTCCTTATCTATTTGTTCGTGATCAAATGTTCAACGTATCTGTTCAACACTAATTACGTTTTAACACTCGTTTATTTCGGTTTAGGTTCTAAATATATTTATTACGATAACGTATTTTTCGAGAATGTTATACAAATAAAGTTTGATAGTTAATTTGAGAATATTTCATATAAATTTAAAACGATCACAATAATGTTTTTACTGTGACCATATCTGATATTTTCATGTTTTTGAGTTAGGCCTGAGCGATAGCTACGTTTAATTCAGAACCTTACACATCCCTTGTACGGAAACCACTTAAGTGTTTATAAAACACTCATATAAGGATCTGTCTAAGTAGGTAGTGTTCTTTTGTGTTATTTGCATTCCTCCCTGCTAGATGCTTCGCAGGATTATCGATTTGATAACTATTACGTTCTCATAACCTTTTATTTTAATGAATATCAGGTATAATATTTTTGAACATTGATCTATTATTCTTAATTATTCGTTTACATATATATATAACTCATAATCAGATTGTCAAGCTCCTTAAAGAATAGTCACTTACAAATGTTAAATTGTGGATAATTCGATTAACTGTGTTCAGAAAATTCTCATTACTTTTATGACATTTTAATATGTTAAAAAGTTTGTAGAAAATTAATTAATCCACTATTTAAAATTTCAAAAGGTCATGGAAATATTTTGTCTTTGTTAAATTTTTATTACTTAATCATGATTGTAGTTTAATTTAATTAAAAAATCGATTCAATACACTTTAAATAATTTAAAAATATATTGAAAATTTTGAAACATTTAAAAAGTATATAGAAAAATAAAGAAATTCTATATATATTTTGTGGTTGTATATTTTTTGAACTTACATAAGTTCAAAAATCGTAAAAATTTTCACGTAATATTTTGTCTATTAAGTAGTTATTTTTTAAAGATTTGGGTTTAAATATCTTAAATGTATATATTCCGCATTACAGAGGTGGTTCTGATATTCTTACTAACTAATAAACACACGGGTAAAAGCTACTTATTATAAAGAACTATTATTAAAACATTTAGATTATAAATACTTATCTAGCTAATGTTTCTCATGTAATAAATTAAACTTAGCTCAGTCTGATTCTAAGTTAAGTTATATTAATCATTCACTTCTCTTTAACTTCTGTCTTAGATTCTCCAACATGGACTGAAAGATAAAAATAAAACTTTACCTGTATTTCTTTTAACTTAGCTTACCACGAACTAACAAATCCTAAACCAGTTTAACTTATTCTATCGTGTTTGGAAGACAAATAGCTAAGTGTAAAAATATGTTTTAGTTTCCTTTTTTATATGTTTTACTTCTAATTTACATTAAAACTGCGTACAATTGAATTAAACTGTTTGACTGGTATAAATGAAAACAAATACACGAATATTTGTGTTATTTTTTCTTAATAAATAAATCCATCATTTGAATATTAAAAAGTCGCAGATAAAGATATTAATTTTCATTATTCATAAGTGCTTATACAGGGTGACTGGTGAATTACTATCGATACTTGAGGACGTGATATTTGACGATCATATATGACAAAATAAAAATTAATATAACATAAATATTAATAAACTTCTAAGTAAAGTTAACCAAAAGTTATGTAATTAATTTCGCATCGTGTGAACACCCTACAAATTAGGTATACACACACACACACGCGTGCGGCGGCGTGGTGTTGTATCAGCACGCTGCCGGACGCGTCCACTCTTGCAACACTTGGAACGTGTCCACACTTTATTTATTTATACGGAAATTTGGTCAAAAATTAAGTACCTATTTTTTTTACATAATTCGAATGAGTATTATGTACCGAGTATTCTCCTTAAATATTGATAGTAATTCACCAGTCACCCTGTATAATATTTAAAATTTAATATCATAAAACCGACCATCCACTTAATTTGTACATTTTTAATCTGATTTAAATAATATGGTTGTTATTGATATATGAAGATTTTTTTACAATGTTTTTGTTTGAATCACTTAGCATACTATAGGGCGTGAATTTCTATGAATTTAAACAACAAACAGAATATAACTATTACGGTGTTACAGACTGTGAGCTATCTAAAGGTAAAGTAAATGAAAATAATGAAATTATATCTTCAATAGCCAGTTGCTAACTGTAGCACTAAAATGTTTGACGAGATTTGATTATACTGAGGTTGATATTCCTAGAGAATAATTCCACGTATATTAAGAAATTAAAGTTTCAAATAAATTTAAATTTGCTAAATACTTTACCACGAAACAGATTTAGAATATATTTTTTTATTGTATTGTCTCCACAATCTTAATTATATCTATTCATCACATATATTTTAATCATATCGTAACTCAACTTCATTTTCCATGCTTAAATCCTTTAACAAAAGTTGATATAAAGTTGATTTGGAAATTAAATTACTAATTAACCCAAAAAAGGATAATCGCATAGGTTTTTGCTTTTATAATTTGATGTTAAACTTTTAATTGAAGTAGGTCGCGCAAATGATCAAGTACGCGATA